GTCCAGAGACCACCATTCCAGTTAACAGGTCGCGCCGGGATGGCTGTCGCTTCTCCCCCGCATATGAAAATGGAATTGATTCCGAACGGACTCCTTGCAGAGATGACCGGCCGAGCTTGATTACTTCAGGCTGTATGGGGTGACCGAGAGATGAATAGAATAACACACAGGACTGACCTCAACAAGCCTCGTCCCTCCTGGACCCTACTGATTTTACTATTTTTGAATGTATTTTACAATCACCCATTTAGAAATTGCCTTCACACGAAATACTGCTTTGTAGATACAAATAAATTTTACTTTGTTGCGATGCTTCCTTCTTATTTGTATAAAACAAAGCAAACGGTTTGAAGACTTTTCCTTGTGCCCTTCTCGCTGGGGCAGACAGGCGCCATGTTGAAGCAATATCACCCAAAGGCTTTGCGCGGCGCCTGACACGGCACTCCGCGCGGCCCAGGGCAGAGGGCGGGCTGTGTGGCCACACTGTGGTCCCGGTTCCGTGTGGGCGAGGCCCACGGGCGAGGTCGCTCGCTGCTCCCACCGGATTAGTGTAAATTCATTAGCCGCGTGTGTTGAGCACCGTGTCCCCCCAGATTAGCCGATACTTTCCATTTTCGGCCGCGTGGAATGGAATAGAGCCCGGCGCTGCTGTAGCCCCGGCTGTAGCCCCGGCTGTAGCCCCGGCTGTAGCCCCGGCTGTAGCCTGTAGCCGCCGCAGCGCGGCACCCGCCGCATTAGCTGCTCCACTACGCGCCGAAATGGCCTCGTTTTGCCGCCGCGGGGGACTCTCGCCTAAAATGTCGCAGAGATCAGCAAAGAGCTACACACCGACCGCCGCAACGGATTACGAATTAATTCGCTGGTCAGTAATGGATTCGAATGGCCCGCTGGCTGGCGCTGGCTGGCGCTGGCGGGGTCCCGGCGGGTACTGTCGCGCCCGCAGCGCCGCCCGCACCGCGCCGTAATGGGCGGGGGCCACCCTAACCTATAAAACCACCGGGCGGACCGGGAAGGCCGCGATCCGAGAGGAAATATTGGCCAATCTGAGAGCTGGCCGCAGCGGCCGGGGCTGCCGCTCCGCCGCCGCCGCCGGGCTGACGGGAGCCCCCTCCGCGCGCACTCGTCTCCGTCCGACCAGCGCCGGCCAACGTTTATCACCCGACCTGGACGGACCCTGCGCGAGGCAAACCGTGTTCTAGATCCTGTCACCCTCAAGCACATTCCAAGCTCATTCCAAGATCAATGTCACTGCTCTCAAGCACCTTACTCTTTTCGTTCAGAAACCATCGCGCATGACGTTATGACAGCATCAAGAACACAGTGTTTTGGGGCGGACAGGTTTGACTACTCCACTTTTGCAATTCCGATGTGTACCACGGTATAAAATTTAAATAAAGTAAAATATAATGTTTACTTAAAGTAAATTGTACGTATAGCATAGATACACATGCTCAGCCCATGTAGGCATTTATAAACATCAGTGCAATTTCTCAAACGGAAATCTTCTTTGCAGGGCACGACACAAATACGAAAGCCAGAGTACGCTCCTCTAGCCCCCTTGCGGCTCATGTATTTTGCTGCAAGCAAAGCACCTAATCGTGGGCAGGCTCGAGGGGGCGGGGGTGGGATTTTCACCTGGCCACTCGCTCACTAACTTAAGCCCCTGGCGGCCGCAACCCCTACCCTCGCGCCGCCATCCCATGTATTGAATTCTTAATTCGATTTAATGATCATGACCCTGAGGGGGTGGGGCGGGAACACACTATAAATCGGGTGTTATATGTGGCATAAAGCACCGCGGCTCCCAGCCGCTCCTCACACGTGCTTCTTTGGGGCGTTTTAGCCCACTTTATGTACTTCGCGACGGCCCGGCTGCGCTCTTGGCGGAGATACGGGGCGTAACGCTCTTGGGGGAGCCGGGGGGCTGAGGACGGGGGTGTCGCACTGGCGACGCAAGTGCACGCAAGTGTGTATGAATGCCTATTCGTACAGATTTCAGGGAGTAAGAGTGTGATTTTTTCCTGTGAAAATCCACACATTTTGTGTATCCATGAGTGAGGTACCTTTTTTTGTGACGTTGTTAACGTTTCGAGTCCGCACACATGGTACCCCTGTAGGTGTTACATTTTTCCTGGGGTTCAACTTTATCATGTCGTCTAAAACTTTTTTGCCGATGACGCGGAACTCAATTATGGAAGCCGTAAAAACAAATCTGACCCCTACCCCTACCGTGCACTTCCACTGCGTAATGTTTTGTTTTTTTTACTGAAACAAAAAAAAAGTAACAGTAAAAAAAACGACCTTCCAGTGAGTGAGACATCAGCATGAGAGGCACCTGCAGTTTCGGATTTGGCGCCGGCACAAGAGAGCTCATCAGGACCGAAATCCGAGCCCCGCCGGCCATCAGCCCCGCCCCGCGTCCCACCCCGACGGGCCCGCCACATAACGCCCGTTTAGGACCCCGCGTCGATTCTGGCGTCCATCCGCAGATCAACCCCCTCCACCCTCCCCTGTCCCCTCCACACACAAACTCGCACAAGCGCGCGCACATCGCAAGGCGTTTAAGCGTTTATGCAAACTCCGTCTCTCTCACTCTCCTGACACACACACACACAC